TTTTTATAAAAAAAATATGTTTTTTTCTATAATATTAATAAAAAAAAATAATGGGTGACGGTTTTCGGGACACACCGCAACGGAACGTGCCGTATTATCGTCACCATTGACGAAGATTGGGTCATTATAGGCAGATATATTTTATTCAATATAAAATTCATTTTTCTGTAATTCAATAATTTTTTTCTATAAATGGCAGTATGAAGATGCGCTATTTGATGTGCCCAATTTTTGTCACCCACTTTTATCATTAATTCTACCTTAAATTATCAATTAAAAATGGATGACGAGAACTGGATGTCTGCGAGGCCATTAAACATGTAAGCCATATTAATATTGGCTTCCTGTAAAATACCTGTGATTTTAAAAATATGAAATATTAGAGTTCGGAAGATATTTTGGACTATATTAAAAGGGATAATGTTATAAAAACTAAAAAAAATAAAAGAGGTGTTTATGATATACCTGATTATGATATTATATCTTATTGATATACCTGATATTATATCTTAAACTGATATGCTAAAGTAAAACTTATTTCTCATGTTAATAGTTTATTTACTAATTAAGAAGTATTTATTTACTAATATGATGTTACTGTTATTTTTGTTTGTTTTTTTTATAAAAATGTTTAATAGTTTTTATTTACTAATAATTATTATTACACTATTATTTTTGAGCTGATATCGGAGATATTCTTAAATAAAATTTTATTTTGTGTGCTTATTTTTTTTTAATTATTTAATTGTTTATGTTATATTTTTTGCAATGTGTCGCAATTCCTAAACAAACTTTTGTAAAAAAACAATGTTTTTTGTGTGAAATAACACATATATAAAGATATGACAAAAATTGGGACAAGTTGGTGACGATATTTAGAACAATTGTAGTTTTTTTAGTTTTTCTTGAAAATAAACGAAAATATCGGTCAAGTTATTAAAGTTTTATTTAAATTTTAAATAAAAATATCTCCTAGTCTCATATTGAATTTTCTTGTAAGCCTTATACAAATAATTCGGATTTTATAGCTAACTGAACTGAGATATTCCCTTAGTGTGACGATAACTGGGACAGTTACCATAATATATGTAACGGAAAAAAACACAAAAACTAAATGGTATTCCATATTTTGTTACTTTCATCTATAATTAACCCAACTTTGTTTAATTTATTTAGATTAAATTAATAAACATTTATAGTAATTAAATAGCAGTAATATTAAATTATGGGTAAATTAAAATATTTTGATGGCATTTTACAAGCATGTTTATTAATTCCATTATTTCAGTTTAATATGGCAGTAATAATTTGTCATTTAATATTTTATGTTTTATTTAATATTCATGTTTATCAAGTTATATATACATAGTACACAAAATTGTCTTTCATACGACATATTCAATAAAAAATTATAATATTTTTGAATCAATACACACCTACGGAAAATTCAATTTGATTTTAACATTTATGTCAAATAAAAAGAAATTTTAAAATCAGCATAATTAAAATAGAAAAAATAAAATAATAACATATAGGTAAGCGCGCATTTATTCGCATCGGACGGACGTATCGGATACACGGAACGGACGAAAATTATTATTTTTCTTATTTTAAAAGAAATAACGCACATATATACGTATCGGACGCATCGTAAACACGGAAATCCGTTCAGAATAATTAGAAAAGAATTAAATCCGTATATACGATGCGTGCGGATGACGTCATTCGTAAATTCGATCAAATGGACCCAAATTTGTATATTTTTCTTGTTCCATTGCTCTTCCTCTTCAAATGCGCATGCAAATAATTATTCATCAGAGCTACTATGTACTCATTTTAAATTTGGAAAGCGAACGTGAAAACAGAAGTTTCGTACTAGCCCGCTTCAAGGATTGCACTAAAATGAAAATGCGGGAAAAAAATCCGAATATAATATGTGATGATAACAAATATATTGCGATTCGTCCGATATGTCCCTTGCGTCTGGTGCGAACAAATGCGCGCTTACCTTAAGAGTACGTTTAGCACAACGTTATTTATAAACCCGATTATAAATTTGAAAATTAAAAATTTTAATTTTCATTTATTATATTATATTGATTAATTATATAACCTAACCTAACCTAACAACTAAATATTTAAAAGTTAAAAATTAAAATACTGATGGTTTATTGAATTTGGGTATGCACGTCGTATTGCAATTTATAGAAAATAGCAAAAAATAGAAATGAGAATCATATACCTGTAAGTTATGAACCATAAAAATATAAATTTACAATAAATGAGAATGAAATCACACCATGCACAGCAACAATATCGTTTTGCTCAATAATTTAATTCTCATAAATAATAAGCAGTTCATCAAAATATTTACTTAATTCCAAATGCAATTCATTTTGCACTGTTAGATTCATAAAGATTTAATATTGCGCAAGTTATCCTGGATGTAATCAGTGTGTTTATTAACTCTAATTAGATGCATCGCACTTTCATTTTCCGGCTGAACAAATTTCAGATCGATTTTGTAGCAACAATTTCGGTACGAGATAATTTTGAAACCATTTGATCATAGTTTATAGGCGTTTTCAATAGGTGTAATAAATATTTTGGTTTACTTTTGCAAATAAACATTTAGTATATTTTAATTTATGTGTATTGAAAAATATATATTATACAAAAGATTTTCTTTTAAATATTTTAAACTAACAGTGGTGTTAGTGTACTTTTGAAATTACTATTTAAACATTTTATAAAAGTATTTCAAAAGTTTGCCGAAATAATATTTTTATGAATTTTAAAATTAACTTCAGTGTTTGTCAGTGATTTTAATAAAAATTTATTAGTTTTTGGCCGTGTTGCTACGTGTTGTGAAAACTTTATTGCCTTTATTATATATGCAATGCATCTTTGATTAAAAAGGTTTTAAAAGTGCTGTTACGGGAAATGAGTTATAAAAATTGAATAAGTGTAGGAAATGATCCTTTATATTTAAATAAAACTTTTTTTTCTTTATAAATTGTTACTCTTAGGTAGTAGAATGGGGTATGAAAATTTGCTGTACGAAAATTCATTACTATAATATCTAGAAGTATAAAATGTTATACAAAAGTATATTTAGCTGTAGTAATAATATGCACGATATATATTTTTTAAATCATCCTGCAGGCAACTAAAAATAATATATAAAGGGAGCAGTAATTCTGCTCTTAGAATTATTCTTATATTGACGTTTTTTTATTTCAGCGAAAATCGGTAATTAAAAACTTTCTTTTTAAATATGTCATTAGAAACACAGTTTATATAAGACAATTACGTTGTAGGGCTCAATGGACATTTCACCATTTATAATTTTTAAGAGATTTTTTTTCAGATTTTGCAAAATATCGATTTTGGCTCGATTTCTAAAACACTCTGTATATAACTAAGGAATACAAAAACGCCATGGAAGAGCGCCATTTACCCTATATTCACTTCATACATAATTAATAAATATTACATAATAATTAAAAAATTTATAAAAAAATGTAAACAGCAAGATTTCCAAAATATTTTGATATCAAAGTTGATCCTCATTTAAATATTTTGATTTTGATAATTTTCAGAATTATTAGAATTGTTAATTTTAGAAGAATATAATCAAAAGTGTAAAACTTGGAAAATTAGTTCGTTATAATAATGGTTTTATAATTCACTATTCTAATAAAAAATATGCATTCCTTCGGAAACTCTCTATTTATTTATCTAGTAACGCTAAAACACTCTATTTGAAAGTCGATTAGAGAAAATAGTATGATTCATTGGCAAGCGATGTAAATATTTGCGATCAGGTAAAATTGTGATGTAAGAGGACAGGCTTAGCTTGCCGGCGAGTCAGTAGTAGACGGGCCGGCCGGCTGTAATGTAGTGTATTGTTGTGTTGTGTTTTGTCACAGAGCTGACATTTGGAGGTTGCGAGTCTTTTTGACTATTAAGGATGCGAGTCTTTTTGCCTATTAAGGATGCGAGTCTTTTTGACTATTGAGGTTGCGAGTCTTTTTGACTATTAAGGATGCGAGTCTTTTTGACTATTAAGATTGCGAGTCTTTTTGACTATTAGGGATGCAAATCTGTTTAGCGGCAGATTTACGTTCGTTGGAGTTATTTCAGGTGACACCAGCTAGTTTTTGAAGATTAACCAATAGATCCGAATAATATTTGAATTAGATGGAAGATATGGAATGGTATATATTGAATATAATATCAGTGGCTAGGGGGCGGAGTACCTCCGGGTGAGTTTTACTATTTAATTATCAATTTTATTCAGATCATTAAATGTTTGTTTTGTTATTTTCACGTGCAATAAGAGTCTGCTTGCCAATGACCAACTAAATAAATATTTGAGGTGAATTTGCATTGTGTGACCCGGTTGAGTAAGCCTCAGAAATCAGAGATTTTACAAAAGTTATATTTTTGGTATACAAAGTTTTGTCAAAAAGTCATTCATACACAGGGGATGAATTTTCCGATTTTTGTAATACTATAATGTATAAAGAGGATAAAAATGCTCTTAAAATTGTATATTAAAATAATTGGCTTTTATGAATTTTAAATGAAATATTGACGTTACTTCAGAAATTATTTGGAAAAAATCGAAATAAAAATGTAATTTCCACACCCTATATCTCCGAACTATGCATTTTAGGACATACATTTATACGAACTTTTTTACTTATTTTTATCTGCAGAATATGACGAAGTTTCCGGAATACAGTTCGGACCACCCTGTAGAACAGGGTGATTCCCTTTAAAAGTGTCCAATCTGGCTTACCCTGTATACGAAAAGGTGTACAGGGTTTACAAAATACGATTCCAATTGTAACGCGGACAAAGTCGCTGAAAAAAACTAGTCATTATTATTAGTTTAAAGGGTTGTTCAATACTTAACAATTATTGCTGAGTATCAAACCACACTCCGCCACTGACTAGAAGGGGCAATAATTAATACATTTTGTTGTTTCCAGGTCGTACTGCGAACGGATATTCCGCGACTGTCGCCTCCAGACCTGCTACGTCCAGTCGCCCGCCTACCCCGGCGTCTACCCCCGTAATTTGCATTGCAGATACTACCTCAACACCCGATTGCCTTTTATTAAACTTTACATAGAGAACGAGGAGTTCAACATCGACGGACAGAGGTGCGAGAACATCATGACGTGTCCTATGAGACCCATATCCTCAGGTAAATAAACGTCATTGTGCACTATAGAAATTTATTCTTAAGGCTGGTAATGCTAGTATTAGGGTTTCTGGAACTGGAGCTGTTCTTCGGAACCGGGAATTTCGGTAACGCGCCTCTTGGGGACCGGGATTTCCCGTTTTTTTCGGTACTTTCGGTACTGACTAATTTCTGTTCAATGGTGGTGCAGTTCATCAATCAGAAAGCAAGGGATGGTTTTTCAAAGTAATATGGATAAAAAATTGAGACTTTTAATGAAAATAATATCAAATTATTAAGTAAATAGTCATGAAAAACTTAACATGAACACAAGTAAAGAAAAAAGTATATAGGTAACTTAAATTTCACATCAAACAACATAAACCAACTTAACTCAATTTGAGAAAAAAGCCCTAAAATATTGAATTAAAAATGCAAATATCTATTAAACATAACTGATAATAAAGGATTTTCTCACGTAACAAAAAAATAATTTTTTAGTTATTGTTACCAAGGCTCGATTCTGTAATGGCCAAAAAGATCTGAACCCTAATTGGTAGTATTAATTATAGTTTCCAAAACCGTACTAAAATATTTTCGTTCAACGATTGTGGAGTTCGTCAATTAGCAAGCAAGGGATGGATCTCAAAAGTAAAACCGATAAAAAATTGAGTTTCAAATGAAAATAATATGAAATTATGTCATAAGAAAGTAAACATGATCAAAAATCATGAACACAAGCGAAAAAAAAATGAAAACATATAGATAGCTTAAAAATTTCATCAAACAACATCTCGAAACCAACTTAACTAAATTAAAAAAAAAACTTAACATTTTCAATTAAAGATGCAAATGCCTATAAAAACATAACACAATAAAATATAACTAATACATTCAGCAATATTATACTAAATAATAAAATAACAAATTTAACTAATAATTGCTAATAAATATTATAGAAACTTCAAAATAACTTTAGAAGTAAGAACAGTAAGAGATAGCATCACTATTTAGAAGGGTTTGATTTCAACCGCTAGAAAGTATCAGAAGTTTTTCAAAAAATATGTTTTTAATTATTATTACCGAATGCCGAAAGTTCCGAAAGAACGGGGAATTAATAATTTCGTGTCCCGGTTCTTTAATACCTACAAAAGATACGTATCATATATTCTTAAATTATGAAATTATAAAAACATTAAAATCTGATAGCAACAGTATCAAATAAATCATAAATTGAAAAGCAAGTCAAAGGAATCAATTAATTACTATTTTATCATAATCTCACAAGTTATATCTTCTACTTTTTGTATAAATAAAAAAAGTCTATAACAAACTAAAGTATCTCATATACTTTAATGTTATGCATACATATAAAAGTAGCGCTTTCAAACTTCCGGTGAAAAATATTAATATTCCCCCTTTTACGCTCAAAGCAGCTTAAAGGTAACATTTACCGAAAGCCTTAACTTTTATTTACGTTTATTTTTTATTTAAACAACTCTTTATTGCATATATTCTTATATACAGGGTGGTTCGAACTGTATTCTGGAAATTTCGGCAGCAATTTGATTTTGATGTCAATATAACTCCTACTTGTATTATATATGCGCCACCTACATATTTTTTACTGGTTTGAAGAGTAATACCTTTTCGTCCGTACCTGTAAAAAACTACTAAGTAAGAAAATATACATTTACGAAGTTTTTTACGTAAAAAAGGTCCCTTGGTAAAAATCGCTATGAATAATGGTTCTCGAGATATTTGGAATCGAAATTATTAATACCTATCATCATTGACATAAATGATATATGTATATATGTATATATAAAAGAGCTATATAAAGAAAATGAATCGTACGTTAAGATAGGACACAGGCTATCTAATCCAATTAGCACCACAAAAGGGTTGCGACAAGGATGCAGCTTATCTCCTCTAATCTTCAACGCTTACGTCGAAGTAGCCCTTAGGGAATGGAAGACGAAATGTCAAGGTATGGGAATACCCATTGGGGACAACACACTATTTACCCTGAACTTTGCAGACGATCAGGTCGTGATTGCGCAGGACTCATACGATCTAGAGTTCATGACTAAGAGGCTTTATCAAGAATACAACAAATGGGGACTTCAGGTTAGTCTAAAGAAGACCGAATACTTAGCTGTCAATTCCAACGCTTGTTTTGAAGTCTTCATTAATGATAACGTCCAGATTCAACAAGTAGACAAATTTAAATACCTCGGTGTGGGGAAAGAAGAAATACAAACCCGAATTCAGAAGAGCAAACAAGTTATTGGATGTCTTAACAGCCTCTGGTGGGACCGAAACTTATCTGCAACAACTAAAAAGAGACCTGGAAGAACATTGGTGGAGTCAGTTCTTTGCTATGGTTCAGAGCTGTGGACTCTGAGTGCAGACGCGAAGCGCAAAATCCAAGTTGTTGAAATGGACTACCTTAGAAGAAGTGCAGGTATATCTAGGATGGAAAAAAGACAAACATCGAGGTCAGGCGTATCATGAATGCATCGGAGGAGACAGTACTGGATCGAATCGAAAAATCCAGCTTAAAATGGTTTGGACATGTTCTGCGTATGCCGGAGAACAGGTGGCCAAAAAGAGTTTTTCAATGGGCTCCCCAGGGCAGAAGAAAGAGAGGTAGACCTAGAAAATCCTGGAACGGAACGGTTACGGAAGCAATGGAAGCTCGTAACCTAGAAGCTGATGACACTCTAAATCGAGATGTGTGGCGTAGGGTAACGGGAAGGCAGCAATAGGCTGTAGTTGGAAATGAGTATTAAATACTTAAACCAAATCCCGTTTATATATATATATATATATATATATATATATATATATATCATTGACATAAATTAAATATGTCGACTAAATAACATATTTGAAGTGAGACGATGAATATCTTTTAAACGGTTAATTTAATCGACTAATCATAAGAAACAATTTTTATAGAGCTGTGAATTTCCTACAAAACCATAAGTTGCACGAGTTATACAATTTATAAGAAAAATGAAAACTGCCTTAAAATAATGAAACTTCCACCTTTAATAACTTTTGAACGATGAGGTTTACAAAAAAAATGTAAGAAACTTTTTGTGTAGAGATTTCAATTTCCTATAAATATTTGTAACGAAATATTTTCTCCAAGTAGTTAATAAATACTGAGATATGAATTTTTCTTTCTAATAATATGGAAAAAATAGAAAACTGAAAACTGGAGGACCATTGTTTCAAAGGTTTGAGGTTCAAGAATTTCAGTTTTTTTTGAGATGTCTACCAACCTTTTTAAAGTGAAAAAAATAATCGATTTTGAACCACCCTAGTGTATACAGGGTGTTTCAAAAAACATGTGCCATCTCTCGTAGGGAGATTCCTCACGTAAAAATAAGATTTATTTTCCATATCAACATAGGTCCGATTCTGCTTTGTTTGGTAGCTACAAGGTGTTAAAATCTTAATAATTTTTCGATTTATCATTTTCTTCCAAGTAATTTTAGCGTTTCGAATAAAATTTTGAAGGTAAAAGTTACTATTAATGCGACATATTTTAAAGTTAAAAACGTGTCGACATATTCACCAGTGACGTGCACATGGGTTATCACTGGAATATTTTTCTAAAAAAAGAATGTACGCCACTGACTTTTTTTTGTCTTGTTAGCGGAATAATGTAAACAGTTTGATGCCGATTAAAAGTTGTCTCTTGATATTTTGTGGATTTCGGCCTCCTTGATGACACAAACGCAATTTTATTAATTTGCCTTGACCCAAGCCTAATAACAACCTTTAAAAAAAATGTAATATCATTAACTTGCTAAAGTTTTAAATAAATACTCATTGATTCCTCATTAAAAAATATGAAAAAAAGTTCCTATAAACATGGGTATGAAAATGCAAACTTTTAGAGTTCCTGGATGTTAAAACTTTTTAAAATTTTTTGTAATTATTTTAAATACCATTATTTTTTTATTTGAAATTGCTGCAGGTTGGACTAGTAATTAATAGTAATAAATATTTAATAATAAATTAGGTAAAATATATTGATTTATTAATTTTATTTTTATTTTAATTATATTAATTGTGATAAATAAAATTGCGTTTATCTCATCAAGTAGGCCGAATTCGACAAAATATAAAGAGATAACTTTTCATTGGCGTTAAACGGCCTACACAATTTTGATATCAAAAGAAAAAAGCCAGTGGCGCACATATTTTTTTGTAAATATTCCAGTAATAACCCATGTACACGTCCTTGATGAATTTATCGATACTTTTTTAGCATTAAAATATGTAGCACTTATAGTAACTTATAGCCTCAAAATTTCACCCGAATCACTTAAAGTACTTGGAAGAAAATTATCATAAATCGAAAGATTATTAAGACTTTAACACCCTGTAGCTACGAAACAAACACCCTTTGTAGCTACAACACCCTACACACCCTACAAACACCCTTGTAGCTACGAAACAAACACCCCCCACCTTTGAAACACCCTGTATAATATTAACCCTTAACTGGCGTGCTGAATTTTTGTACCGTTTATGGCGTGCTGGAGTCCGACGGACCCCAATTTTTTTTCAGTTAAAAATACATGATGAAGAGATTTTATAAAAAGCTTGTTATTTTAACACTGTTTACAATATGTTCAAACTTGTAAACAAACAATTTTATTAATTTTCGACAAATTGTTAACAACGGACACAAAAATTAAGTAAAACGCATTTTTTAGGAACTTTTGACAGAAATATAACTTGTCTTAGAAACCCACAGAAATTAAAAACATATTTTATAATTTTACCGTATTATTAAAAGTACAAACAACTGAAATGCGTAGCTAAAGTAAAAACATAAATTATTTTCAACAAAACTGCAAACCTTGATTGTACATAACTTTTTCAAATACAGTTCATGCTAATATAGGATCTGCATTTACCGCACATGGATTGTACACCAAAGAATATACCTAGCTAGAAAAAGAATGGACTCTGCCATAATGAAAAATGGTCCTATATCC